ATATTGGTCTGATCGCTCATATATAAGAAACAGCTTTAATTAAAGTGTGGGAGTAACAAATAAAGAGATCTTCCATGGAGCTGCAGCATGCATGCCCTTCTCAGTCAGACCTCTCTATTTTTAGTGCTTGCAAAGGTTAGCTTTATGGGCTTAAGCATCCCTTTTCTAGATTTTTTAAGACATTCAAGAAGGAAGAAACATGCTCTTGATCCTGAGTGCAACACTGCCTCTGGCTCCTGTAAGCTCAGATCTGTGCATACAGACAAGCCTGATGTGTAACTGAATGTCGCTTTGGCTAATGGAATTGCTCTCATTATTGCATAGACCTTGTTTTACAGATCAAGATAGAAAGTCTTCTGATTATTCACATTAAGTCTTGGGTCTCGATTCCACCCCCACCCTGTTTTGTTTTTTGCTGGTGACAATAGTGAGATGTCAAAAGAGGGAAAGCTGACAAATCAAGAGAGTAAGATCTTCTTAGTTATTCTTTAAAACTTTTCTCCTGTTCACACCTTTAACTCAAACAGTGTTAAAAACTGCCTTTGTGAAAAGTTCAGAGCCTTTGTCTATTTACCTGCAGGCTGAGAATACTGATTTCTGGCAAAAATAGGGATGACTATTCATATTCTTAAACTGTCAAGCTTGAAGAGGCAAATTTAAAAATACAACCCCCCCCAAAACACACCTTCCCTTGTCTTTCCTTTTCTTTGTCTCTATGCAAGGTATTTAACAGCATTTTCAGGTTCACTGGAATCTGACAGACTGTGCTGTGAGCACTTCTGCTTTGGCCTCAAACTTGTGCCCCTGGAGCCGTGAACTATGCACCTTAGTGCCCACATCATCCCAGCCCCCCTTGTTTGCTTTAAAAGCATGAAACAAAACTTCCTCAGTTGTTTTATATTTGGTGGATAAGCCATATCACCATTTCCCTAATACAGATAGCTCTTTGTGGGTTTACATGCTGCTTTTAGTAGCAGCCAGGATTTTCTAGAAGGCATGTATGCAGCAGATCAGCAGAGTGCTGACAAGCACTGGGGTTCAAGAGATCCATAGTTTTAATTCTGTCTCCTGATTCTGACTCTAGCCTGTCTGTGCCTTAGTTTCCCCATGTGAAAAAGGAGGATAATGACAGTGACCTCCAGGACCTACCATTAGATAAGAGTTGGCATTGTTGTAAATATACATATTCATGTGTGAACAATACTTGTGACAAAAATGAATTTCAAAATATTCTGATGAAAAATGAGAGGAAATAGAAGCAAAAGTTAAATTAAAAAGGGAAAAAATGCTAAAAGAAGAACACTTAATACAGAACAGTGTCCATTTTAACAGAGAAAAAGCATCAGCACTTGAACTGGGTTGAAAATGATGCTGTAGGAAATAGTTGGCTCTTGCTAGGATATGGCCTGACTTGACAGGGATAGTCAAGCAAGTAAACTTCAGTCTACCATCAGGTGAGAGGGTCTTTGCCCCATATAGCCACATCCGTAACTGACCTCAAAGGTCTACTTCAGCCTAGATGGCCTATTCAGCCTGTGAGGTCAGTACTCAGAAGGGAGCTCCAACTAACATCCTGGTCAGAATAACCAGGTGCCCATTTACTGCTGAATGGAGTGGAAGGAGGGGAAAATTCAAGCTCATGCCTCTTACATTCAAGTGAGATGCCTTCAATGCTCTGCTCTCACACCCCTCCTGACAGTGGCACAAAACACTGTGTAGACCAGGCCAAAAGATGAACTTCACTCTTGTCTTTGTAGTTCTTCCTTCGTTCTTGATTGAAAACAGAAGCTGCATCTGCTCAATGCTGTTTTGGTCCTCACCTGAAGTTGTCAGCAGATTTGTAGTATTTTGGTTGGTTTCTCTGGTAAAATTATAGCTTCAAAGAGATGATGACTTTGTCTTCTTTTCCCATTTTAGTCCTGCCCTCCCTGCCCCAAAAAGAATGAAGAAGGGCTTTCCACCCATTTATTTTTACAGAACAATCAAGCTTATAAAGCACGACCCAGGAAGAGGAGTTGGAAAGAGGTTACATTTAGCAGAAAACCTCATGTTTCAGTTGCAGAGGTGGAAAGGGGTCCCTACAACTAGCAGCATTCCCGAAATAGACCCTGCTGCTCCCCCCACCCCCGTGGTGCATAGCTGTTCTGCAGGGGCCTCAGCACAGCCCACGTGCACACATCACACATAGTCTGCGTACACATAAAAACTATTCAAACCTGGCAGAGGCAAACAGTGCTTTTTTCTCCTCCCCACACGCTTAAGCTAGTTAGTTCCTGTAGCAGAGGGTTATATTTCTCAGGGCTATCCTCCCTCTCAAAGATTTTCTGACACAGAGGAGGATGCAGCAGAAAGCAGTCTTGATCCTGACTGACTGATGGATCTTTTTATCAGGAGGGACCAGTCTGTGGTAAAATACCCTGAGGGAAGCACAGAGGTTATGCTTAGGGGCAACCAACATGGGTTCATTAGAGGCAGGTCCTGTCAGACCAACCTGGTGGCCTTCTAGGACCAGGTCACCAAATCCTGATGCAGGGGTAGCAGTGGACATAGTCTTTCTGGACTTTAGGAAAGCCTTCGACACTGTCTCTCACCCCGTTCTCATTAAAAAAACTGGGGAACTGTGGTGTCGACACCTACACAATCAAATGGGTCACCAACTGGCTGGAGGGCCGCACCCAGAGAGCGGTGGTGGATGGGTCATTTTCGAGCTGGAAGGACGTGGGCAGTGGGGTTCTGCAGGGCTCGGGCCCGCACTGTTCAACATCTTCATCAGTGACTTGGACGAGGGGGTAAAAAGCACCCTGTTCAAATTTGTTGGTGACACGAAGATGTGGGGGGATGTGGGCACGCTAGAAGGAAAGAATAGGCTGCAATTGGACCTAGACAGGTTACAGGGGTGGGCGGATGAGAATAGGATGGGATTCAACACTGACAAGTGCAAGGTGATGCACTTGGGGAGGAAGAACCAGCACCATACCTACAGGCTGGGGAACTCCCTTCTTGTCAGTGCAGAGGCAGAAAAGGATCTTGGAGTCATCA